AGGTTTTAATATAATTTCGCTAAATTTTACCTTTTTCTATTTAAATAACTTGTAAAACCTCTAAGTTTCATCCAACAACCTTAATTAGAATAGTATCATAAAAAAGAAATAAGAATTTTGAGTAAAATTCAATTATATAAAGTGATGAATTTCATTTTTATTATTCTAAAATATTGCTTATTATTAAGTTTGGCATAAGTCACATAAAAATTAATGTAAATTATTAATTCTAACAATAAAATCAAAAATCAAGATGTTATAGTATGAATATTTTGCAAAAGATAGATTTGATTCTTTAATTCAAGTTTTTAGTAGAATTACAGATTCTGTATATATTGAATTGACACTGTTAAAATATTTTTTTTACCATTTTATAACAGTTTTAAAAATAATTTACAATATATTTTTTTAAAATGATAATGCTTTAATTTATAAAACAAGTGTAATTAATTAATGAAAAGAGAATAATTTAGTATTAATTCTTTTATAACCAAGATTTTAATCCAATTGAATATTTATAGAATATTTTTGAAAGCTAATTTTAGGTATACAAATCTCATCAAAAAAATATTAGAGAATTAATAATAGTTTTAGAAAGGAATAGAATCAAATTGAATCTAAAATTTAGTTAAAAGTATATTATAAAGAATTCAAGTTGTAATAGAAAGTTATGATGATTTAATAAAATACTAATAATATAAATAAAAATATGAGTTTTTCTGAATTATATATAAAATTTGTAAAATTTTATTAATAAATTATTAAGTAATAAAATGTCAAAATAGGATAATTTTAAATAATTAGCAAATGATTAATAATTAATCATATAGGAGGTTTGCTATTAAAATCAAGTTATAAACATAATAAATCATATGATTTATAATATTATTTTAATAGCTTACTTCCTATATTCCAATTTTTTAATTTTTTTAACTATATTGTATTTACACCTTTTTTCAACTCTTAAATTCTAAATTGCTTCCTTATAGAATAATATTTTTAAAGAGATTGCTTTGATATAATCAATTGTTAATTGATTAAATTACTGAGATTATTTCTGAATTGCTGTTTATATACTGTATTATTCAATGTATAGGTACCAATAATTGTTAATGTTAATTTGTAAATTTGATTTCACATAAATGTGAAATATTCTAGCATTTACAGATTTGCCTGTTTTATTAACGAATTTTATACAAATTTTTAAATCAATTTAATGAATCATTATCTTAAATACTTTTTATTATATAATGCTATAAACTTTTACTTAATATAAAATACAATTTGTTAATATTTTTAGCTGATACAGATTGCAAATGAACTTAACATTTAGCTGAAAAATAATGATATTATTTAAATAGCAACATTTTATTTAGTATACATTTATCATGTTCAAGATTTAAACAATAAGTTATTCAATAAGAAAAACAAAATTAAAGGATTCTTGGCAGATATTTCTATATTAATGTTAGATAGTGAAAATTTTTCTAATATTTGAAATTTTTGCAAATTGATAAGTTGCTATATTATATCCCAAATGTGTTAATATTCAAAATACGCATTTGGAATATTCTAAATTGAAATGCGTAATTAGGATATCACAAATGCAAATATTGTTTAGGATATTCGCCTATCTCAATGCACATTTCAGATATTCCAAATGCCAATGTAAAGCAATTTTATTTACAATTTAAATAAAAATAAAGATTTATAAATATAAATATTAAATATATAAATAATTTAAATTTGCTATTAATTTATTTAAATAAAATATAAATTACAAGGTTGTCATTTAATAAACTCAAATCATTAGTGGTAATTTAGGACAGGAACTGAGTCTGAATTGGTCTTTTGAAATGCGCATTTCGGATAACTGAAATGAGCATTTGGGATATCATCAGAAATGTTCATTTGGAACATTGTTTGAAACGTGCATTTGGATATTTGAAATGAGCATTTGGGACATTATCCGAAATATGCATTTGGGACATTGTCTGATATCTGAAATATTCATTTGAGACATTGTCTAAAACATGCATTTGGGATATTCAAAATGCGCTGGGAAATTATCTGAAATATTCATTTGGACATTGTCTGAAATGCACATTTTGGATATCCAAAATAAGTATTTGGAACATTATTCGAAATGTGCATTTGAGGCAAGCGAATATTCCATACGATCTTTGCATTTGGAATATTCCAAATGCATATTCTTATTTAGGATATCCCAAATGCGCATTTTGGATATCAACGTATTGGAGTACAACAGCTATAACTTAGTTAAAGCTAAAGTTGTTTTAAAAAAATGCTTGAATTAAATGTAGACAAAGATTTTTTTACACTGAATAAAATTTGTATAGATTTTGCAATCGTTATTCAAAGAATAAAATTTATGTTAATAGATATTAAGTTACGTCGCGCTTTAAAAAGCTCTATCTTTAGATTAGAATCGCAAGGTTAAGATCAAAAATCGATTTCATTAATCTGACTCATAACAACATACTAAATCGAATGAATCTTGTAGCTTTAGAAGCAGGATGGCAACAATTCTTTGACTCTCAGGATTCTGAAGATGAAATAGTCATTTCTAGCGTATCAAGTTCTTAAATAATGTATCAAAGTATATTGAAAAAAGCAAACTATTGAAAATAGTTTTTAGCACCTGATATATCGTGTTAAAATCGATTTTGCAATTCTATTTCGATTTTGATTTTTGAAACGATTTCAATTCCTAAATATATTAATTAATATTCTAATAATAATTTCTTTTTTTTAAAAAAAAAAAATTTAAAAATAGATTTTTTTAAAATAGATTTATTGCGTCTTTATATCGAGCCAACTCCGAAACCCAATTTTCCGAACTGGTCATTTCACGAAATCTAAGTCTTTCCACATGATATCTCGAATATCTATTTTTATAAACGATTAATAAATTAGGGATGATAACGGCGGTCAAAGGCATTTGACCTATCCTTAACCGATCGATATTAACTGACCAGTTGTAACACTGTATATTAATTATCGTAGGATTTAAATTTACCATTTTTTTTGGTATGATAATTTTAATTTTTACTTTATATGAATAAACTGCTGTTAGAGCTATCTAATTTCTTCTGTTATGGATGGTAAAGATCATTTATTGTCAAATGCTTAATCCACATGGCAAATATATAAGTATTACATACGTTTATTTAAAGTTTCTACACATTTATTATTTTTATAATTGTTGCTGATACGCTCTAGAAATTCTAGTATACCTATTGCTCTGAATTTTATTACTAATTAACTTATTATATATAAAAATAAAATAAAGAATTTTAAAGTTTTGTTTTTTCACATTTATTTTTAAATCGCATCGGTGGTTTTCATTTATACGAGTCTGATGATATCTTGGTATCTGAAATCATTTGTGCCTCAATTTCAATTACAATTCATCGTGGATCCCCTTTTTATTAAATGCAGCAATTGTTAGTTCACTTAATTTTTTTCATTAAAAAAAGAAAATATTTGTTTGATTCAATTTCTTTTTAACTTTGAAATTTTCTTTTTCAATAAACTTTATCTCATCGCATTATATTTTGGAATAAATTTCAATACATTTTTAAACAATAGGTGAAACTTTATTCCTGATTATGAAAATAAGCTTTGTTCGTTAATGAAGTGCCTCACAAACTAGATTTATGCTAATTTACATTAAAATAAACTCTTACTCTTAACCTTTTAATGTGCGAAGTTTATATAATTGGCAGTGACTTATATTTTTTGATGAGAATGATCGATCGAGAAAGAAATTTGACAATGACAAATTTTTTCTTCTTTAAATTTAATTTTAATAAACTTATCATCAACGAATTTTCAAGAATCGACATATAATTGTAATAAATCACATTTTTTTTGATTTATACCAATATACAAACAACTGCATTCATTTTTTATTTTACTTTTTCAGTTTATCATTATTGGGAATATATTGGTAGATAGTTTCAACAAACGAAAAACTGATTCAGCACAACCATTAAAAAGCTCGGGTACGTGATTTTATATACTGTCAATAATTGTCTTCACATCCTCTAGTTCATTTTTGCCATTTGGGAACTGTGTTTTTTTAGGGTTGAAATCTTAATTGTCGCTCGTTATTTATCACAGGCTAACTTCATTAAAACTATGCGCATATAAATCACGTGTCTGAGGTTTTTGATGTCTTCATGGGCACATGTAAATTTTTTATAATTAACAACTTCTCTACTTTTTTACCCACAACCATTTTCTTATTTTTTTTTGTTTATTGTTTTTTTTAAAAAAAAAAAATTATTATTATTTATTCGGTTGATCCCGGTCCAAAGTGCTTAAAATACAAAAAAAAAAAGTAAGCGGCATAGAAGTTTGAGAACGAGGTATTGATTACAACCAGATATCAAACCATGTTCTAAATAGAACTTCCGCAAATAGGGTGAGTTTTATTGAGTTTGTACTTGCTTTAGCGAAGCTTTGGCAAAAAGGTTAATCCCTTCCCGTTTCTTACAGGTTATAAAACTCTCATATTCCAATAATGTCCTAAAGATTTTTAAAATGAACCGTGGTGATAACGGGTAACGGGTGATAGGGCATGACGCTGGACCGGTAATATCATGTATGTATACTGCTTAGTCATCGTCGTCTTGTCATTTTAGCAGCAGGGTGGTCCGAATATTGTTAAGAGAAAGGATACCATCCACGCCGTCAAAGCACGATAGGACTACATCGTGTCCCACAAATGAAATTATATTCATTTAAAATCACGAGGGGGGTCTCGTTGGTGATGTGGTGGCATAGCTGTGTTTGAAGGGTGACCCTCCTATTCCCAGTTTTTTTTATATAAGACGTTTCTAATCGTGTTCGTCCCCTTTCCCAGATAATGTAGTAGACCATGAAACTAGAGAAAAGGTTACCACATCCAAGGAAGGCAGCAGTAGTATCATCATGTAAGTATACTTACTTAGTCATCGTCGTCTTGTCATTTTAGCAGCAGGGTGGTCCGAATATTGTTAAGAGAAAGGATGCCATCCACGCCGTCTAAGCACGATAGGACTACATCGTGTCCCACAAATGAAATTATATTCATTTAAAATCACGAGGGGGTCTCGTTGGTGATGTGGTGGCATAGCTGTGTTTGAAGGGTGACCCTCCTATTCCCAGTTTTTTTATATAAGACGTTTCTAATCATGTTCGTCCTCTTTCCCAGATAATGTAGGTGACGATGAAATTGATGAAGAAGCAAGAAGGAATGAACGAGACATGTATGTACTGGAGTGACTTAACACAAAGGGTCTCAGGTCAAAGTTCTGACTTTTGTTTTATTAATTAATTTCTCTCTTTTCGATATTCTTCTTTAATTATTTCTTTTCATTTCCTTATTTCTACAGGTCCGAAGAACGAGAGAATTTATGCCGCAGGCAGTATGGTCATTGGTAAGTGAAGAAATAATGAGTTCAATCTTTCTACGTGGAAGTGTTTCGTGGTGTAGTGTAGTACGTTTTGACCACGAAGGTCTACCGTTTCTTTACGAGGATCAGTTATATCATTGCATAAACAGGAAGTGATGCGAGCCTCTTTAATGGGGCATCACTTTTAGTGATCCACCTTTGTAACTGAAGTGAAATCTTGAGTTTCTACACTAATGCGTCTCATTTCACACAACTTTTCTATCTCTATTTCTATGTTATTCTATGTACTTATGCTTTACTATTCTACCTATTATATATTCAAGCATATTTCTCACACTTACATTCTTTCATTTTAAAATAGAGAACGACGATGGCGATATTTTAGGTACGAGATTTTGCTATGTTAACTGGTCCTTGATTGAATTGGTAGTATTGAGCTTGCGGTTATTCGGTGAAATTGCACATGGGACATCTTGGCCATAAGGTAATGGCCAGTCATTGGTGGAAGTTACATAGGGCTTCTTGGCTTAAGTATCATTAAACTATTGGATGTAAAACATAAAATGTATGTAATTGGATTCTGTTATTTAAATCGAGTGATCGTTCTGTCTCTCTCTCTTTACTTATTAGAAATATTAAATCATTCTTTTATTTTCGTTATTTAGAAAAAGAACTTTGAAAAGAACGGTCTTATTTATAAGTGGTCAAAGTGGTAGTAGATTAAATTGGTGGGTTAAATTGGTGGGTCGGTTAAATTGGTCGGTTCGGTAAATATGGTATAATGTAAAAATTTGTTTGAATAATAAAATTAAAAAAATTTAATAACTTTTAAAAAAGTTAGAAAAATCAATTTTAAAAAAATTATTTAATTAAATTCGTTTTTGAATTGGATTAAATCATAAATATATTAAATAAAATTTATTCTGTAAAATATTTTTATATTTATTTATTTTTTGTAAAAAATTACAAAAAGATAGAAGAAAATAATGAGATAAATTTATTTGTGCGGATAAGCGCTGCGTTAGATCCTGTTAACTTAGTTGCTAGATCCTTTAGTCAAAAGAAAGCAAATAATTTTTTAAATAACGACAGTACAATATTAAATCATAAGAGTAGTGTGATGCTACTATTGTTCCCTTTAATTTTAATACAGTTGGTAATAATATAACTTACGCTGCGGCAGAATTATTTACTTATCGAAAATAATGGGTCAAGTATTTTTTTTATTTATCGCGTTCTAATTATAACTCGAGAAGTTTTTATTATAATATAGATTAAGGACATGCAAAAAAAACATACAAATCGGGCATAGTTTAGCTTAATATCTGGAATTTTAACATAGAAGATTCATGATAGACGATACGATTCCATCAGGCGATCATTTTATTTTTCCAATAAAGATCTTAAGTTTTTCAAACATCATTTCTTTTAAAAACGCTTCTTTTAATGGGAAAGTAAATGGATTTTGTGAATCAATATCGTTATAATTGTAAATACTGGATGAATTAGTTACAGCATGTCGAAATAATACTAATATCACATCTTCAATCCAAGCTTCATTATAGGTGTGTTACTTTTTATTATGGAGATGAAGCTTGTAACTTCTAATTAATATCCTCTATTATAATCGTACCAAGTCCAATGATCTTTGCCCATGACTTCAAGAAATTTTATAATAAGAAGTAATGCCATGAAGAACAGATAAAATAAATTCAGATTATGTTGATTCGTTTGTGAATGCAGATCTTTATAATATCTTCCATACATGAATTTTACATTCGAACTTTGGTAGTTAGTATAAACGCGAACAATGATTTGGTCTTAGGAATTGTTTTGCTGAAAAAAATACAAGATTAAAAAACTGTGGTGTAAATTTTCATCGAAAAATTTCACAAAGGATATCAAACATTAAGTCCAGAACGCATTACAGCCATCTGAAAAGGCAAAGTCTTGACTTCAAAGTTGATAAATTTATTTGGGAATTGATTGATTACAAAAGTTTATCAATCTAATAAAATGCAAATATTTCGTATGGACAGTTATCTTCCAAAATTAGAGTGATTTTGGTCAAGGAATTTGGAAATCTTAGGAATGTAATGTCTTGATCCTCTACAGCTTTATATTGTGAAGCTAGTGTTAACGGAGTAGAAGTACCATTAATACTTGATAGTGTGCTATGGGAAGCATTATTTTGTGAAATTATTTAAAGATCCCTTTACTAATTTCCCCATAACTATTCGAGGAGCAAAAATTTTATAATATGATCCAAATTTACCGTGTCTATTTTTGTGATTATTAAAATTTACTAAATAATATAATCTATTAAAAATACAAAAAATTAGTAAATTCTAAAGGCACGGATGCCATATTTATATTACGTAAGCCTATTACTTAGCATATACCGTTATATTTGTGCATACAAAATACCCCACATTATAGTATCCTACCGCCTAAAATACTCGGTATCTCATGAAGTACCCACGGGTATTATCCAATTTTAAATCAAGTATTTTGTAAAATATCCGGGGTATTTTATGCAATGCTATTTCATCACAAATTTCGTGTTCCTCATATACATATATCTTCAAGTTCTTCAAAGTCTATGTCACTAAAGATACTAGTATTGTCAGTATTATCATTAATATTTCATTGAACTTTAGTGAAATTCTTTTAGACTCACTCACTAATTTCGTTAAAATTTCTTCTTCTGTCATATTTACAATAAACGGTAAAAAAAGAGTGATATAATATTGTGATATTACAGTTACTTTTTTTTTAGTTGCTAAAATAAGCAAAATGTAACCGAGAGATGCAACCTTTTAACAGCAACTTTTGCGAATAATTTTTCAATAAGATTGTAAAAGCGGTCATTGAGTTTTACTTTATTATTTGAGTTTACATTTGACTCGCAATTTTTCATTTTAACGAAATTTAGGCACGTAATATTCAGTTGGCCAAAATTAACAAAAGTTTGGCCAGAATTATGAATTACTGATACATAAGCACTAAAAATTTTTTATATCGGCAAACATACAGACCCCCGCCAAAAGTCTCCGAACGCTTTTTGGCTCAATATAAAACTTAAATTTTTTAAGTTTAATTAAAAA